CCTCGGTACGACACACGGAATCGAAGCATGCATATCGTATTACTCATACGCCACGTTATACAATTTGCTGGAGACGAGCGGAATGAGTCGAAACGCTGACTGCTCCGACAGGGAATCGGGCAGATGAAGACAAGTAGATGTGATCCGTGTAAAGCACGTATACGTACATGAGTGTATGAGTGATGGGTTGGGTGAGGGTGGTTTGGGTTTGGGTTGGTTAGGGCTGCTCTGCGTTCCTGTCCGTGTCTGCTTTTATGGGTGCGCACAACGGCTGCAATGGCGAAATAACAAGGAAGGCAAAGCAGCAGCAGAAACAATTAATTGAGTGGCTCCCCGTACGTGTCGCACTATGTCGGAGTGCAACTGCGCCAGCCAGTGAAAACGAAAGATAAAACGTTTTGCAATAGCGCTATAATTTAATCAAATTTGTCACGCTTGCAATTGAGCGACTCCCGGGAGCCAGAGATACAGCCACAGGCACAGCCAGAGGCAGTCGTCGCCAGCATCGTTCTATTGTGGGGCACAGGAAAAGTGCGAGTACGTGAGGCAGTTGTCGCAAAGCTTTCGCCTGAGCAATTTATGAATGGGCGTTCAGTGTCAAAGATCCAACTATGTCGGCGTCTCAGGTGTTTCGTGTTCTGCCATGTAAATTCAATTTACAATGCGTTTAGGGCTCATCAAATACCCCTTGCAATGGCTACGAGTGAGTCAGCCCACGAGGCTGGCTCGTTCCCATCCCCTTCCCTCTATTCATTACTACAAAATGCCCAAGGCTATTGTTTTTGCATTGTTGTCGTCGGCATTGTCATTGGTCAGCGGGCGTGATTCGCATTGGGTGCTTCGTGCTGCGAGTGTGCCACAAACCTCTGATGCCCTACAAGTGCCACTAGCAATGGCCAGGGGCAAACAAACAATCTTCTAGCAGACACCCGCAGTCGAGGCTGAGGGGTGACACTGACGGCGTCATGACGGGGTGGCTCGGTAGAACGTGGTGGCCAATAACTGGGTGGACGAATGGCAAAAGTTCAGCTAGTTTCAATGGCATTACTGCATCCCGGGCTCTGCAAAGCACATTTCATTGATACGTGCAAAATGTTAAATCGTTTTAATGAGCTCTTTAACCAAATCATTAATTTGGCCTTCATGATATAATAAATCATTGATTTCGTTGCCGCGCAGATGGACGTTGTAATTTTATAGGTGAGATCAGCTAAATTGTTTCGTCCATTCGCACGGAATTTAAAGCTTTCCCCATTTCGTTAATTTTTCATGAAAACTTTATTATAAGTAGTAAAAGTGTCTTTGTGCTTGAAATGTAACCTAATAAAATCTGTTCATTCTAATATCTTACTGAAGCCGAAATGGTTATGGCTTATTATGGTACGAAACAGGTATTTGTAATCCCTTCTACGAAAAGAGTTGCTTATGACCTTCGGAGCATCTCTCAAAATATATGACCTTTATAAACATTAAGTGAGTGTATAGTGGAATTATTATATATTTGGGATATTTTTATATTCACGAAAGTGAAGTGAGTATATTGGTTTTGTGCATGTCCATCTTACTGTCCATCCGTCTGTCCGTTTACCCGTATAAAACTATCGAAGCTAGAGAGTAGGGTTGTCGAATATTTTTATACCCTGAAGCCATTGAAAATGGGAAATCAGGGTATAATGGTTTTGTGAAAAGTATGTAACAGACAGAAAGAGGCGTGGCAGACCCCATAAAGTATATATATTCTTGATTAGGGCGACGAGCTGAGTCGATATAGCCCTGTCCGTTTGTCCGTCCTTCCGTCCGTCCGTATGAGCAAAAGGATCTCAGAAGTTATAAGAGCTAGAGAGCTGAAATTTGGCATGCATACTCGTGTATACCGTACAGTACAAATTTATCATATTTTTTCTTTAACTCATCCGATAACTTTTTTATCGAGAATAATCGAAAAATCGACTTGGTTTTTTCAGCCTAATTTGAACACTTTTAGACCTGGAGACTTCAAATTTGCGTTGTATATAAAGTTAAGGTATACAAAGAATTCGTAATTTACAGATTTTGGATACCACGCCCCCTTCGTCCCCAATTTGTAAAAAACGCATTTCAAATATTTGAGACTTGTGCTTTGGAATGTACACACATTTTTACCATATAATTACGCTCTAAAGAGTCATGAAGATTGTATATCTACAAAAGAAACAAGTAAGAAGGCTCCAGTCGAGACTGCTCGACTAGGAGATACCCTGAACCCTCTAAGCTGATATTCTAATCATTCTGCACTTCTCTTATGCACACATGCATACACATGCATCCAGACGCACACATAAGCCTGCGCTCTGCTAACTGCGCAGTAAGCAGCGACTGCGCTTGGGCTGCGCTGCAGTGTGAGCAATATTATGAGAATTTATTTGTTGAATAATTTCTTTTGTAGATACACAATCTTAATGAAACTTTCAGAGTGTAATTATATGGTGAATATGTGTGTACATTCCAAAGCACAAGTCTCTAGTACTTGAAATGCGTTTTTTACAAATTGGGGGCGAAGGGGGCGTGGTATCTAAAATCTGTAAATTACAAAATCTTTGTGTCCATTAACTCTATATACAAGGCAAATTTAAAGTCTCCAGGTTTAAAAGTGTTCAAACTAGGCCGAAAAAACCAAGTCGATTTTTCGATTATTCTCGATAAAAAAGTTATCGGATGAGTTATCGAAAAAATAAAGCAAACTTGTACTGCCTATGGTATACACGAGTATGCATGCCAAATTTCAGCTCTCTAGCTCTTATATCTTCTGAGATCCTTTTGCTCATACGGACGGACGGACGAACGGACGGACGGACGGACGGACGGACGGACAGACGGACAGGGCTATATCGACTCAGCTCGTCGTCCTGATCAAGAATATATATACTTTATGGGGTCTGCGATGATTCCTTCTGCCTGTTACATACTTTTCACAAAACCATTATACCCTGATTTCCCATTTTCAATGGGTTCAGGGTATAATTATTCAACAAACAATTCTCATAATATTGCCCACATGCAGCGCAGCCCAAGTGCAGCCGCTGCTTACTGCGCAGTTAGCAGAGCGTGTGTTTATAACTGCATGTGTATGTATGTGTGCATGAAAGAAGTCCAGAATGATTAGAATATCAGCTTGGAGGGTTCAGGGTATCTCCTAGTCGAGCAGTCTCGACTGGAGCCTTCTTACTTGTTAAAATATCGTATCGATATTCTTGATCAGGGCGACGAGCTGAGTTAATTTAGCCCTGTCCGTCTGTCTGTCCGTCCGTCCGTCTGTCCGTCTGTCAGTATGATTGAACGCGTCGATCTCAGAATATATAATAGCTATATAACCCTACTATAGACTTTAAAATTAGAACACATGGCGGATATATCTATAGGGGCATCTCCTACAGTTTAAAGCCTAAAAGCTTCGAATTGGGATAGTTGAGTTACTGTTAACCTACTCTATCGATGACCCAAAAATAATTGTTACGCCCTTTTAGGGGCGTGGCATACAGAAATATACCCTGTAATTTTCATATTTTTTGAGCGTAAGCCTTTAAATTTTTCAGTTCTAAGATCTGACAAAAACTTACGAGCCCAAACCACTCTTAATTCGAACAGCATGTATTTTTTTTGCAGTGCGCAATGCTTAACACACTATATTATCAATACTACTAAATATAACACATACCAATGCATTTCGTCTTAAACAGAATTTTATTCTCTATTTCCAAAAACAACAACAATATGAGTAATTTATTCAAACAGATGACTTAAGAGATAAAAAATATGACCACTATTAATTCGAACGCTTCGTAATGTGATTTACTATCATACTTAAAACAATAATTTAATTAATATTAATATTAATAATTAATATTAGAATCGTGTAACGTCGCCCTTGGCTTGCATTACGCATGTAACTCATTTTAGCATCGATTTAACAAATTTTGTGCAGTGCTCTTGAGAAATTGAGTCCCACATCTCTTGCAACTTGATTTTCAAGTCAGAAATGTTTGTTTGTGGTTCATTTCGAAGCTTGCCTTTTATTGATAGTAGCTAATGCCACCAAATATTTTCGATTAGACTTAGTCTGGGCTATTTGATGGTCAATCTAAAACCTCCATTTGATTCGAGCCATTTTTGGTTCGTTTGGCTGTGCGCGATGTTGAAAAGTTCCAGTTCTGGTATAGATGGCCGAAAACTATATTTTAAAATATTAATGCATTTTTCAGCATTAACCATCCCTTCACTGTAGTAAAATGCGAAAAATTAAATTTATTCAATGAGCAAAGAACGCCCAAAAGTACTTTTTATTAACAATAGCGGATATAATGAATTTAGATTCTTCTATGATGGCCAAATACAATAGAAACTAGTTAAACAGTACAATCATTTGGGGAAATGACCATCTGTCTCGTTCTAGAGTTTTATTTTGGTTGATGTATATTCACAAGACTATATATGTATATATCTATCTCAGTCTATATATTTAAAGATATTAAAGCTTGAGAGCTCCAAAAAGGGGCAGTTAAGTTTTTGTTAATTCTTTCCTTTACCAAAGCGATTCAACTGCTTTTTACCCTGAATTTAATCTCTTGTATCTAAAAGAAAACAGTGCAATCTAAAAGAAAACAGCGCACCCGACTCTCCATTACTGAATACGCGATTGCAATTGGGTGCGCCGCTGCTGGTATGGAACAGAGACTTACATTCGTTGATAACCGTTACTAAAATGTTTTTATGCTCAATGTACACACAAAATGAGAAAACAAATTCAAAAGTACCATTCGTTGCAAAGTAATGAGTGAGTTCAAAATACTTCGAGGTATATGCAATATAGTTTTTGAGGATAATTCTGATATGCCCAATAAGTATCTGAATTTGCTCAAGTCATTTAATATTTTTTGTGTTTGGGGAAAAAACTATGAATATATACTGTATCCTTATTAATGTTATTATTACTAATATATTTTCTTTTTCTCTTTTACCTTCAGGCAATAATAGGAATAATGCTCAAGCTGTTCGTGTTGCCAATAATAACGATATGTCTATTATTAACGAGCGTTAACTCAGGTGTGCCTATTGGTAAGTGAGCTTGCTGTAATATAAAATGGGCGAATGGTCCAGTCATGTCAACTTGCAATCAACTGTGGTTTAGGAACTGGTGGCCCATCGCTGATATTTGAAAACAAAGACGCGCTGCTAACCTGCGTGGTCTCCGAAAACTCAGGCAACAACACAGTAATATGGAAGAAGGGTGACGAGATTTTAACGGCTGGCACGGTGCGTGTTACCAAGGATCACCGTGTTAGGGTGTTACACGATGAAAGTGAGTATAAGTGAACTTAGATGTGGCATTATTCATAAGCATCCTCATACACAGATCCCAGGGGGAGTAATCCGAACGTGGGTGGGGAGGTGTGGGTGTTGCTGATAAAGGGCCTTAAAGGAAGTGATTCGGGTGCCTACATTTGCGAGTTAAACTCCGATCCCGTATTACGTAGTATTCACATACTAACAGGTAAGTTGGTCTGGGTTATAGAGCCACTCAGTTCATACTAATGGGAATTTAGTTAAGGAGCTCTCAACTGCAACTGGCCTGCAGGCCAATGCCTCAGATCCAGTGCCAGCTGAATCTACCGATGTTTTTCTGTTGCCACCGCCACTCAACGCGCAGGACAATCGCAGCTTTTGGCGCCCGAGTCAGTCTCCGCCGCAGCTGACTCATGATTTTACAGAGTGCTGTGAGCGTGCGAATGTCTCCGCTCAGTGCATGGGCTTCTGCAACTTGCACAACATCTTAGATGGCACCACAGGCATCGATCCCGAGGCCTGCGAGAGGGACTTTCCGAGCATAGTGAGGTGCATGGCCGACGGCCGTAACCACGTGCCGTGCTGTGTGGAGAAGCAAATACCGGATCTGTGCCAGGATATGTGTCGTGGCGAATATACACCATTCACCGATCAACTCAAGACCCGGGTTTCATGCGTGCAGCACACCCTGACTGGGCTGCAGTGCATTCTCAAGGGCATTCAGCTGATACCCAGTACGCCCACGCGAGTCTCGATAGATAATGTGCGAGAAACAAGTGTTAACATAAGCTGGGCTCCACCGCAAAAGCTGGACGACCAAGTCTCCTACTATACTGTGAACCTGACCGTCTTGCACAGCTTCGACGAAGATGAGCTGAGTGGCGAGTCTAAGCACCAGGTGCAGGGCGCTTCCGCTACGGAGGAGACAATGTTGTACAATGTGACGGCCAATCAGACATTTCTTTCGCTCAACAAGCTGACGCCTCTCACTATGTATGCTGTCATAGTGACGGCCGTCAACGAGTTCGGTGCGAGTTTGCCAAATGAGCGTCTGCGTTTCTTTACGCACACAAGCGCATCAGTGGTCGAGTCCCAGGCGGGCAGTCCGGATAAGCAGGTGATGCCCACCCTGCCGGACATACGCAGTTGCTGCGAGTCCAGTGGGATGACTCACCGCCTGTGCATGGATAAGATGTGCGATCCGCAAAAGACGGACTTGGCTACGCTGCCAGACCTAATGGTTTGTGCGCCATGGTCGAACATCACCTTCAGTTGCTTGGCCAATAACATTGATCATACGCCCTGTTGCAGGGCCCGCGGCATACCCTCCGCATGTTTCCCGATATGTGCTGGGAAGTTGACGTCGCTAGACTTCAGCTTGTTTAAGTAAGTGACGAGAAAGTTGGTTCTCCAATGGATTTATAGCCGTATTATTTGGGACAGGTGCCTGCGCTTTATGTCTGAGTATAGCAGCTGTCTCTATCAAGGCTACGGCGTGCTGGCTGATCCTCCCTCTAAGCTGCGCACAGTTGCTAAAACGGACAACTTTGTCATTCTGGACTGGAATAACCCGAAGCGACTCGGCGAGTCTGTAAACACCTATCACGTTAAGTTCCGACGTCTCGGCGTTGGCGACGACTATCTAACTGTGGAAAAGGCACATATAATTGGGGCTACTTGCCAGACTGCTCGACTAATTTAATTAACTTTGCAGCGTCAGCCGCCACTCATTCTTGAAGGCCTGGAGCCGGACATCTATTACGAGTTCTATGTGGTATCAATTAATGCGTACGGAAAAAGCGAGCCCTCCCCACGTCTTATCACCCGGACCCTCCCAGCCGAGCTGGCCACAGTCCCCGCTGCCAAATACAACATGTCGACGTGCTGCAAGGCTTCAGGACTGCTGCCACAGTGTGCCCCGCTTTGTTCGTACAACATACGGCTGTCAGACATTGAAAATCTCGGTCCGGCATGCCGTGCCCAAATGCGTGAGTAGCATCCAAGCCCGCTTTTAATGATGCCCACACATACACTCATACATATGTATCTAGAAAACACTAATTAGTGTCAGTCCTGGAGCCTGGTTAATCAACTCGCAATTGGGTAATCCCTTTAGGCTTTCACTTTCACTGACTTACATGAGTTCATTTGACTTGTTTAGGCTTTTTATTGTCTGATAGGTATAGATAGAAATTATTTTTTAGTCGCATTTAACCACAAGCTTGGATAAGCTGTTATAAGGCCCAACAAATATTTTGACAGGGATTATGTTTGGGTTCGATTTAAAGTTCGATTCATTGTTAAGAATAATTCGAGCTTAGACTTGAAAGTTGAGAGTTTCTGCAAATTTAGTTGTTCCTATATACGTATATCTCAATATAATAAATATGTTTCATTCTATATTTCTATATACATATATTTATTGAATGCATAGATCTTAATGGTAATCTTGGTAAAGAATGAAACAACCTGAATTATTCATAAGTAGGGCGCTATTAAAATGATATGATATTTTCACTAAGCTAAAGTTTTGTATAGTGAATACAATACTGACACAATATTGAACAGACAAAGTGATTACAATTTTCTATTAGTTGGCGAAATATGCTGACTCAGTTACTGTTCCATTGGCTGCCCAACCGAGGCAAAGCGGCCAAAACTGTTGAGCTACCAATATTGTTATTCATTGACGCCTTGCCAAGTACCTAAATTATTCAAATATCAAATTGATAATAATGATATATAGCGTACGGCGTTATAATTACAGCATGTCAAAGGCAAATGTTGCAAGCTCATGCAGATGCGTTCCCTTATTAACCTTCCATTGACTATTCGCAGCTATACTGGCGCGCTGTGCAGCCGGCGGACGTGACCACAGCCCTTGCTGCAGTCGACGCAGCGTTATAAACGCATGCATGCCACTTTGCCGTGGCGTCATGCCACTGGCGCTGACCACCAAATCGACAGCAGGAGCAGTCGCTGCTGTCGGCAGCATGTCTTCATCGACTGCCTCCACATGGGCAAGTAATATGCCCGACTGCTTGTCGTACGCTGGCAACATTTTGCAATGCTTCGAGGAAGGTGAGTCGACATCCATCGCAGCCGATGCGTCTGTGCGCTCTGTTGCACTCCATAGTTGTGTGTGCCGAATTAAGTATTTGATCAATGCCTGGGCTTAGCCCGCAAATTGGCAGACAAAACCAATATTGGCCAATTAAATTTGCGTTAAAACAACTGGCTGTTTCCAGGCACAAATAACATACCAGGGCCACCAGAAGATGTCCATGCAACAGCGATTACCAGCAGAAGCATAAGCATAGCCTGGACGCCGCCCAACGTGGACCCCGCCGCTCCCCATCACAGTGACACGGCAACTGGCGATGAGATTGAAGCTGCCGCAAGCGCTGTGGCTGGCGATGTTGCATCAGCAGCAGACACCTCCCAGTCGCGCTCCTCGGCCGTGAGCGACGCTGCTGACGCTAACGATGCTAATGATGCCATTGAGTTCGTAGTTCAATATGGCAGAGTCAATAACATGACCATCTACGAGACGGTTGCCAAATTGGAGAATGTGAGTACAAGTATATAAAGAGTAGTTCAAGTTGATCAAACAAGTTTTACATATCTAGTATATTACGCCATGTTGTATTGCATGCTGTATATATTAAACTTGGATATACCCTGTATTCAGTTCTTGAGGTTTTCAATACTCTAAATACATTAAAATTGAGATATCAGGGAATAATATTTTTGTGAAAATAAAATATATATATTCTTGATCAGGATGACGAGCTGAGCTCATCTAGCCATGGTTAGATTCGTTTTTAAGCGTCATAATATAGACCATACTGCATCCAAGCGCAGTCGCTGCGTCAACTGCGCTGTTAGCAGAGCGCGTGCTTTGGCGAACGTGTGGATGCAAGCGTATGTTTTTGTGCACAAAAAAACGGAGAATTATTGGAGTATCAGCTGTTTGAAGGGTTCTGGGAGCAGTCTCGTTGATTGCACTCTTACTAGTATAACACCGTTTTTTGTCTAGTTTCAATACCCGAAAAGATGGAACTATCCAATTTACAGTGGGGACCCCGATAAATTATAAACATAAGTATTTAGTATTTCCGACTGTTACAATTTAGAAACTAACACTAGACAGCTGTATTTATCATTATCGCCCTTTCAAAATTGTATTAGAAAAGTTCATATAGATGAAAAGTTATTCAACAATTGATTCCATACTGCATACCATAGCTGCAGTGTAAGCATGGTTATCTGTAGAGTTGTGTATATTGATTTCTATGTAAATATAAAAGATTGAAGTACGATATCACCTCTTTATAGTATGCATAGGGTCTCCTAGACAAAGTCCCAGCGAAACTACTCTTATTAGTTTTCAGTATAAACTCAGGGAATCAAACTTTTCCAAATAGAGCTAAACTCCTAAATAAATGAATGAGTATAAAAATTAAAATTATCATGCACTTTTATCAGACCTCGTACTGGAGCTCTAAATAGTTTGATTCCAAGTTTGGCATAAATATAATACCCGGCTGGCTACGATCTTTGAGTATTAATTACACTCCAGGAAAACAAAAGCAGACTTAAGCCGTTGTGAAATACTAGGTTTAATATGGAAAGCTTGTGCTGCGTTTGTTTGATCACTCAGCAATATTGCAGAGTGTGTGTATACATATAAATATTCGAGAGCTCCGCTGGCCATCTAAACATTTACTGGCACGTGCTGGGGGACAGTGGGGGCCGAAGTGTTACTGTGGCTCATAACTGTCATATGGATAGGGCACGTGACCATAAACTAGTCAAAATAGTTCCCGCCCGAAACTGGCAAGCAAACAATGGAGCCAGAGTTGGCAAAATATACATATAAATTGCCATTGGCATTGTTGCAGCTATTGACTATTGTTGTCACACATCAAAGCTCAGCGGCAGTGCCACCTGCAGCATCAGCCGTGGCCATCAACAGAGTTATTGGCCCCAAAAACTGCAAGTGCTAAAAAATACAAAAACAATGTGCAAATGCTTGTCGCGTGTTGATGTTGCTGTTGTTGTTGTTATCGTTGTTGTTATTATTGGTTTTGTTGATGCGCGCAAAATGTTTTCAATGTGGGCAGGCCCCAGTGGCGGCCTGTCGACGGCGACCTGCCCATAATGCCAGCATCCAGCATCCAGCACCCAGCACCCAGCCACAGACACCCGCCGAATCGATATTGGAGAAGCCATTTACAAAGTGCAGCTGCTGACAGCATTAGCTGTTGCCAATGTTCGGTGCGAATACCCTTGCAGACTGCATCGTAATTTTAGCATTAAATGCGCCGCACGGAAGTAGCTGCACCACAGTCTGATCCTATCGATATATTTGATTACTAAGTACCTTTCGATCTCCTAATAAATTTAAATGTATATATAATCTAATATACTACAATATACTGATTTGTTTTCTTGGTAACTAATAATTAGAAATCAATCATAAGTTACATATTTGAAAGGGTGTTTAGTCTTCGATGTGCCGACGATAAGCATTTTATCTTGTTTTGCCTTCAGTTCAAAATTCATTCGCCTGTTCACTTTGGTTTTGTTAGCTTGGTCGAGAGAGCGCAGCTGCTGCAGAGCGTTGGCTTAGCTTATTTTATTTTTTTACCCTGACCGCCTGGTGTCAATTGGTTTAAATGCGCCCCGTGCTTCGGCCTCAGACTTTTCATTATTTGGTCCAACTATATATATATAGTGTCTGCCCGTTGCTGCATCTCAAACTCTTTGCGAGGTTAAGAGTATTTTTGGCACGTGGAGCAGTCATGTGGCCTCAGCTATTCCCATAATAAATTTATTTGTTTTAGATGCGGCAGAGATATTGTTAATCATAATAAACTTGTATAGATATATGAGTTCATTAGTATCTGTAGACATTATGCGTATATTATAGATAGATATAGATAGATACAAAATATTTGTACTTTATGTTGAGGGAATAGTTATTGAAGAGCTTTGTAGGGCAGCTGACTGTTGGTTAAATATGTCTTTAACATTTCCCCATGAAGTGGGAAATAAACTCTAATTTTTCATGGACCTTTCGGTGCTTAAAATGGACATTTTAAAAGTGGAATTCAAGGAGCGAGTTATCAGAGCTTGGACAGCGTAGTGGGTGGGTGGGTTTGATGCCACTGTCGACAAACTGTCGGTTTGTTTGTTGTTAGCAGAAACACCCTAAATGATGACCATAAAACTTTTTAGTGCGCTGGAATAAGGGAAATGATAAAATGGCTGCTCAGTCTACAGTTTACCAATTAAAATACATTTAAATTCCTATGCAGTTCCGCACTGGCACTGGCACAGCAGATGGCAGATGGAGCGTGGATGGCGAAATTCAAACTTGTGTCTTTGGAGCTGTGGAAAATGAGCACCTTGGGACGTATTTTTACGACCAAAAGTTCTCTGGTCTCCGTGTTAGTGGAGCAATGGTCTTTGCATATTTATTTGCCATATCGCTTGGTAACTGCTGCTTGGCATAGAATCTTTCCGGGTGCTGTAGCTTACCCTTTAGCTAATAGCTCACGTACTTGTGTGCACATTAATTATTCATTGGGGCATCGCTCGCTCGACTAACCTAATATTGTCACTCAGGGCCCATTTTTATTGTGGGCTTTCCCAATCAATGCTCAAAAGAGTAACAATAAGTGGTTCCTAGGGGTTATTAGTATTATTCCCTTACCTGTGAACTTATCAAATGGCATGGAATAATCAGAGTACGAATAAATGTAAATGGGAATATTGCTTGCGATAAAAGAAGCAAACTTTCAAATATAATTCATGAGACACTCAATAGTACACCTTTAAGTACAGGTAATTATAAACAGTTATTTCGACACCTATAATGTATACAAAGTAAGCAAAAGGGGTGCGATATCAAAGAGCAAACTGCATCTCGTTACGAGATATCATATGATAAATTGTTTGTTAGTCAAGTGTCTGCCATTGGCCCACTTACTAAAATGTCAATGTCTCGCACGAGCTTAGCGAACGTAGATCGCATAAATGTGTGCATCTTGCAAAATATTATAGGCAGCGCGTGCGATCAGATTAGCAAAGAAGTTACTTCAGAATATAGAAGAAAGAAAGAACTATCTGCGCTACCGAAGCAAAATTGAGCAAAAGTAACAATATGTACCTTTGTCTTTTTATACCCTGAACCCATTGAAAATGGGAAATCAGGGAATAATGGTTTTGTGAAAAAGTATGTAACGGGCAGAAGGAGTCATCGCAGACCCCATAAAGTATATATATTCTTGATTAGCACGACGAGCTGAGTCGATATAGAGCTGTCCGTCTGTCCTTGACTTGTGCTCTGGAATGTACACACATTTTTACAATATGATTACGCTCTGAAAGTTTCATTAAGATCGTATGTCTACAAAAGAAATTATTCAACAAATAAATTCTCATAGAAGAAGTGCAGAATGATTAGAATATCAGCATAGAGGGTTCAGGGTATCTCCTAGTCGAGCAGTCTCGACTGGAGCCTTCTTACTTGTTTTTTTTTATTTAAAATCAAACTTTGTCTATTGCAAATATTTCATGACTGCGGCGTTGGCTGCAAACTCTCGAAAATGTAAAAACGTTATTTATATAAAAATTCTTCTTTGCTACGATATTCACTATGCGTATTAAAATTCGGTTTTTATATCCCGAACCCATTTTCAATGGAAAATCAGGGTATAATGGTTTTGTTGAAATGTATGTAACAGGCAGAAGGAGGCGTGGCAGACCCCATAAAGTATAATTATTCTTGATCAGGGCGACACAAATCGACTCAGCTCATTTAGCTCTGTCCGCCCGTCCGTCTGTCCGTATGTTTGAATGCGTCGATCTCAGAAGATATAAGAGCTAGAGACTTGAAATCGATTAAAAACATTATCGGAAAACAGTAATAAAAGTATATCTGCTACATCTTTGTCAAAATTTACCCCTTACACTTTTATATTCAACCCCTCACCCTCACCTCACCCATCTTTGTAAAAGCCGTATTTCAAATACTAGAGACTTGTGCTTTGGCAAATACATGCACATTTAATCTGAAAGTTTCATGAAGATAGTCAATCCACATTAAAAGTTATTAAACAATTAAAGTCCCATAGTAAGCCTCCACTGCAGCCAATGCGTGTATATGCGTGCCTGCCTATATTTGTCTGTGAGTGTGTGTGTGTATTTCATGTGTAAGCAGAAAGACGCAAAGAATTATTTAAGCATCAGTTGCTCGAAGGGTTCAGGGTATCTCGCAGTCGGGCAGTCTCGACTACAGCTTTCTTACTTGCCATTTTTATGTGTATATTTATGACAATATTGCAGAAGAATATCAATTTCAATCAATCAATCAATTGAGTAAAAGTGCAGAGAGTAAAGTCTTCTTGATTTGCTAATCGATATAACAATCGAAAGGCGTAAACAGATTAGCCAATGACAGTGCTGGATATACATATGTATATAGTGCTGTAAATATAGCATGCATGCATGCGAGCGAAATACAGCTGTCAATTTTGGCGATGGCTTTTGAAACAATCTGACGCCAGATGCGAATGGCAATGGCAGTGCCATCGTTACGCGCTGTCAGCTGCGTTGGTGTTGGCTGGCGGTGTCATTTTGTGGCTAAATACCGCAAATCGCGCTACTTTGCAGCAATTACAAAAACTGCTAAACACGACAATGTGTCTCTCAGCGAGCTGATGCCCAGCCAGAGCCACAGCCACAGCCGCAGCCACAGCTATAGTCGCAGCTGTAGTCGCAGGTGCCATTGCACGGCAGTTACAATACACTGACAATTTTTTTGCATTTCACGGATCTCGATTTTGCCATTCTCTGTTGGTACATTAACTATGTGTACAGCCCTGTATATATCTGTGCATCAGTATAGAGTATTTTCTATTCGAGCATTCTCGACGTGCAGACAACATTCCATTTTTGAGCATTTACGTTATTTTACTCTTAGGAATTGACGACGAACGAGACTAGCATAGATCTGACCAACTTGGATGAAAATGCCTTATACCGCATTATGGTTGTGGCGCGTGGAAAATTTGGCACATCGCTGCCGGCATCGATGTTGCTTGTAAATACGAGTGCTGCTGGCGAAAAAGGTAAGTGGCTGGGATCTGTGTGATCTGTGTGTCAATGTCGACAGATTTGCTAGGCTAGGCCGGTTTGGTTTGACTAGTTAGTCACTGGATATGGCATATGGCATATGGCTTATTGTATATTGAATTTACGGCCAATTGCTGCATCGACTTGTGTTTTTGTAGCATTGTATCCAAACGATACGTGGGGCGCACCGTCTCCGCCCCACTCGCTGACAGTGCTCACGCATAGCGCGACTTGGATGCAGATAACCTGGCAACCGCCTGAGTACTCGCATCCGCACGAACGGATCACATACAGGTGAGTTAGAGTCGTGGCGAGGCTGTTGACCAGGAGTATATGCCTTGTGTGGTACTAACCAGACTATTACAGAGTCTACCATAAGACGATGAACTCTGCTGACTTTACCAAGATCGAGACGAAGTTGGCCTGGCTGCGAATAACGAATCTAAAGCCCAGCTCCCAGCATGTGCTCTATGTGGAGGCGGTAGGCGAGCGGGCTACCTCGCTGCCCTCAGAGACCCTTGTGGCGTGGACAGATCCGGCGCTGCCAGCCTTCGTAGATGTAATTCCTGCTTCTTGCTTAGCCTATGCTAAAGAGAGAAAAATGAACGACTGTTTTTTTTTGCGTTAGCCCCCAACTGTACATCCGGCGGACAATATACCCGAGGGCGGATCGATGACAATTCTGTGCCTAGCTCTGGGCAACCCAGCCCCCACCATATCCCTGTACGTCGGGGGGCACCTAGTGCGACAGGACACTTCCCGGCATATGGTGACAGTCATTCACAATGTTTCCGCGGACATGGAGCACGTTTCCTGTTACGCGGACAACGGCTACGGTGTGCCCATGCAAGCCACGCGACGCGTCAATATTTGCTGTAAGTTATCGAAATTGATCGAAATTGATTAATCTATAATTGAGGTTGGCCTCTACTCACAGATCCGCCCAAGATACAGGCGGCTGGCATCACTGTCGCCTCTATTGGTGATGAGGTAGAGCTGCGCTGCACGGTTGACTCAAAGCCCACGCCCAAGACCATCTTCTGGCGCGATCATGACGGACGTGTGCCCGTGCCACAGGGAGGAAACTATTTCGTGTCCGTCACGAATGTGTCAACCATTTATACGATGGCACTTCGCATCAGCAAGCTGCAAGCGAACGACGTGGGCGATTACTTCTGTCATGCAGAAAATCCGTTTGGCTCTTCCACTACGCCGGTGTCGGTGCGTATACGCAACACGCCCAGTCTGCATCGCAACGTGTCGCAGTGCTGTGCCGCGCAAAACGTTTCGGTGGCCTGTCGGGATGCATGCACCTACTACGTGGACTTTGACGCCATAGCCAACCGGCCCGAATGCATCGTCGACTTTGACAAGCTGATGAAGTGCGCCGCCGATGGGTCGGATCACAGATCATGCTGCGCAGATGAGCAGGTACCACGCAAGTGCTTGAACTGGTGTCGCGGCGAGTCGGTGCGCTCCAAGGAGATCTGCAGCCTCCAGTACTCGAGGACCATCATTGGCTGCTTTGAGAAGAATCGGGACCGCCTCCCGGGACCCCCAGAGAACATTGTCGTCAGCGTGCTGTCGGACAACGCGGTGAACATTAAGTAAGTGGCTTCGAAGGGCGCAAGTGGCGAATTTCTTAATTCCATTAGAAGTTATCAAGCTTAATATATTAACAATGTCCGGCCAGCAAACCGAAAATACTTTCTCATTGCTTCAGCCGGAACTGAACTCATCCATTTTGCTCACCAGCCAATACATTCATTACACTCATGCCCCATCTGGGGTCTGTGTGTGCGAGAAGTCGCAAGTCCATGCGTGGATGCTGCTCCTTCTGCTGTTGCTTTTGCTCCTGCTCCTGCTGCTGCTGCTGCTGCTGCTGCTGCTGACTGCACTAATAGACCGCAAAATCCATTAAAGCTGAGATTTTTATCTCACTTTAATACACTTAGTCAACGTCAAAGGTTTCGCACACAGTCTGGAGCCGCAGCGTGAGCACAGCGCCTTCTGGGTGGTGGGCTATGTGTGGGCAATGGGTTCTGGTCGAGATGCCAGTCCGCATTAAATTTATTAAAATTCCAGTCAAGTTTTGCGGCTGCAACAATATTACTACTACTCATAATATGGCGCCATGCACACGGTCTGAAAACTATTTCATTACAGATGGGATGCTCCAACAAAGAATCCAAATGCCGTCGACGGCTATAGAATATATTACCATGAGGCCGCCGTGCTGCCGCCATCGTCGGCGGCGCAGCCAAACGAATCTTCGATGGAGCCTGCCCTGGATACAGTGGCCTCCATGAATAATGCAACAAGTATAGGCAACAGCAATGGCAACAACAACAACAACAACCTGGCCATAGCGGGCGCCGTGGAAATTCAACGCATCGACGTAAAGGACACAACAATAAGCATTAATGGTCTGAAGAAGGACGTGCTCTATGAGCTGGTGGTAAAAGCTGGCAATACATACGGTGGGTGAATCGACGGCTTGCCGTGTGTGTGCCTAGGCTTAATTCGCAGACTTGTTTTCCCAGGTGCCAGTGTACTTACCGATCCGATTAGGTTCACCCTGGGCGAACAGCAGGTGACCTCGGCGACCAGCAGCTACTCGAGCGCCGTGGGCACTATAAGCGGCATCGTAGCGAGCATTTTGGCTATCCTCTTGGCGGTGGCCGCCATTGTGTTCTATCGGCGCCACCGCTGTCACCATGGGAAGGCAGTCAACGGCAATGTTGCCTTCGAGAATCCCACGTACACACGGGGCTTGGAGCAGGTGCAGGTGTGTATAAAGCCTATTAACCATACCTGTAATCTTTTCATAAGCCAGCCGCAAAGACTGTAAATCGGAGTGTTGCATATACTTATTTGTGCTCCTGTTATAACGACAACGTGTATCTTTCTCCTTTTGTTGTTTTCAATTGAAATGAACACACGCACACACACACACTCGCTAAAGTTGCCAACTGTGACATCGGCCATCACAACAACACAGAATGGAAACAATCACACGCATGGCAGCAACAGCAACAGCAACAGCAACGGCAATGGCAACAGCAGCAGCAGCAGCAGCGGTGTCGGCGCACACACTGGCAGCAGCAGCAACAGTCACAATCACAATAGCAATGCAGCCACAATGACGACATCCACATCCACAGCCACGACGCTTGATACGGGGAGCATAGTGAATGGGAACAGGCATCAGCAGCAGCAGCAGCAGCTGCGAAATGGCCGCGGTGTTACAGATGCGGCCCATCATTTTCACAACCCGCTTAGTAATACGCAGTGCAATGAAGTAAATCCCTCAATTTATGAAGAGCTCAAACTCGGGCAAGAAGGTGCTGGATTTAAGAAACTTGTGCCATAAATGACACAACACACTCATACTCACACGCACACTCACACATAAATGAGAAGCGCTAACAACGCCTACAAGAACCGAAACTGAAATACCAACATCTCAAGTTTAGCTAGTTAGCTTACATATATACATATTATGTATGTGTGTACGCGTGTACATATGTAGCTACTTATGTACATACTCACATTCGTATAGACATACATGCTACAATGTAGTCCGCACAATCGCAATATGTAGACATAGGCCCGTGTAAACAGCGCGAAGCGCAACCCCAACCTCACACAGATACGCACATTCCTTATAGATAGAAACACCCACACGCCCACACACAACACACACGCACATACTCGTACACACGCTGGCATCCATTCAGTATGCACTGTGAAAGATAAATGGGTATTATTGCGTACAAAATGATTGCTAAGATTTGGTTAGTGTAAAGTAATAAATTTGTAGTATGTAACTGTGATTGAAAATTATGTAAAATAAATGTAATTGGTAACAGAGCTAAGCTACTTTTGTAAGCTATGAACTGGTTTTCCTTTAATAACTAAACCTTGCTTAGCGAAACGCATATTTGGCATTACTTTCGTTCCATGTAATTTAAAGCAGCAAGTAATTTTGTATGGTAAAAGTATGTATTATAATATCAAAACTGTCTGATGTGGCCAAGTGAAGGCATATATTATGTAATACATAAATATGTAAGGCTAGAGTTCTATATACATATATGTATATGGTAAATGTGTGCTTCACCTACCATCCTGACTGACATTATAAGGCAGACCCTGCTTCATGCTGTGCTTAGCTATTCAAATATTTGACTAAGATATATGATACGCTCTAAGGCGCTATGATCTTAAATAGATATGGATCTGGCATTCATTTTCATATTCAAGCGGTTAAGTGTTACAAGCGAATCCGACGGAGATTATCATAATTGAGTTATGCATAAACTGCTGGAATTACACTGGATTTATCCACCCTTATCTCTATACTGGCACAAAGTGCGCTGAGATCCCCGCTGGAAAAGGAGTGCATCCATATTCATATCCGTATCCTTGGCGTGTGAAGGCCTCTAGTTTTATATTTTTATGCTATGCTTGGCTCCAATAAACTACTATTCAGCAGAAGCTGCCTTGGCCGTTGCTCTTTGCGTCGTCAAACGCTGATTTCTGCTCTTTGCTTTTTGCGTGGCTATGCTTTTACACTTCCGTTTCCAGCTCCAGAATGCTCGTACCTGGCAAAAGCTCTGCACAAATGCCGCTTGAATTATGCAACACATTTAAGTGCCGGTGATGGTATTCTTATATCTCTTACATGTGCACTCTCATTCAGAAAGAATATATCGCTCCTACACACGCGGCAGTTGAAGCACTACCTCTAATGGCAGAGGAAAATTGTTTAAAGTCGATATTTCTATCGCTTTTGAAGCTGAGTGGATTATAGTCACATATGGATTATAATTAAACCAAGCCAAAATTCTTTGCATTCTTCAAAAAATATAGTCATTGTCATTGATTATGACTATGTTCTTATTCATATTAATCAAGGAAATTCAGACCCAACCTATAGGAGACTTTTGATGTCATCGCCTGATGTATTTACAGCCTGAACCCATCTCGGAACCCATAAGACCTGAGATTTTTTGTATGAATGCTAACTATGCTTCAATATATAACGTATATGGTATCAATCACATCAAAAATTTTAGTTCACAATGTTTCCTGTGGTAGAGAAGAAAAATGATGATTCGAATGATGTGTGGAACATTCTTTTACTCTTGATATATAAGTCGAAGGAAAGATCATTTTAAACAAGTAAGAAGGCTCCAGTCGAGACTGCTCGACTAGGAGATACCCTGAACCCTCCAAGCTGATATTCTAATCATTCTGGACTTCTTCTATGTACACATACATAAACATGCACTTATAAGCACGGGCTCTGCTAACTGCGCAGTAAGCAGCGCTGCAATGTGGGCAATATTATGAGAATTTATTTGTTGAATAATTTCTTTTGTAGACATACGATCTTAATGAAACTTTCAGAGCGTAATCATATGGTGGGTAAAATGTGTGTACATTCCAAAGTACAAATCTCTAGTACTTGAAATGCGTTTTTTACAAATTGGGGGCAAAGGGGGCGTGGTATCCAAAATCTGTAAATTACAACATCTTTGTGTCCATTAACTCTATATACAACGCAAATTTAAAGTCTCCAGGTTTAAAAGTGTTCAAATTAGGCTGAAAAAACCAAGTCGATTTTTCGATTATTCGGACGGACGGACGGAGAGACGGACAGGGCTATATCGACTCAGCTCGTCGTCCTGATCAAGAATATATATACTTTATGGGGTCTGCCACGCCTCCTTCTGCCCGTTACATACTTTTTCACAAAACCATTATACCCTGATTTCCCATTTTCAGTGGGTTCAGGGTATAAAAATGAGGTTTGAAAGCGTTTTCAATCGATAACATTGAAATAAGAATAGATATTAATTTTGTTTACGGTCTAGTCTGTAGATGTGATAACTATCAGAAGGAGGGCTAGTAAATATTGAGTGATTGATTTAATCTAACTTTAGCCCTTTATATACAGGTTTTGCCAATTGACTAGACCATTAACTTATATGTTGACATATACAACTTTTTGCTCGAGAAATATTTTAAATATATAAATTTGACAGCTTCTGTAGTACTTTCCGCCGCCGTAGTAGTCGTGTTGGAAAAATCTAGGTACTGAATATCCCTATCCGTAATTACAAGGTACTACATTTTTATTGCACAAACCAGAAATACGCTTTTCTTTTCATGAACATGCATGTGGAATGTACACGAATATCTAATTTGAGTAGAAAGAGCTTTAAAAAAGTCTATGATTGATTCTAAAAAAAATTGTGAGTTTTTGTAATAATATTTTACTGTTACATTTTTATTACCGGTGACTAATCAATTAAATCAAATGACCTGGAAATGCCGTAATAAAAACACTAATAAACAACAACAACATTTTGCAGACATGCTACGTGTCAAAGTACAGTGGGTGAGTGCGAGTGGTGTTCCGTGATTTGTTGTTAATAAACTTCAATTAAAGTTCTTTGCTTTTTATACGCTAATGGCCTCGATCCCATTCGTTCCATTTTTATATTTATACTCCACGTTAATATTACACTTGTAGTTGGTTCCCTTAAAAGTTGTTTATGCCAACACAAATATCTTTTACGATTTTTGGTTCTTTTATGTCCCTGTCGCTTATTTTCCGGCTAAACTAAATTCAACATTGTAATCCACAGGCCTACGAGTTTTAATTTTCGGAGCGGGACTCGACAATTTGTCGCCTATCCCCATCGCCATCTCCATCTCTTTCCCTCCGTCGCGACAATAATTCCACTGTCTGGCCGCCAGCCAAGTGGAGCATTTGCGGCAGCACAAAGTCTGGGGCTAACTCCGATTAACGGCATTGCGTGAAATTTGTGTATTAGAGGACGCACATGGGTACATATAAGTGTATGTTACATACGACATCTAAAATAATTCTTGAAATGCTATTTAACTTGTCAATTAAGTAATAGCAATTAGCCTATAATCATAATAACAGTAAATATCAAAAAAACATATGTACGAAATTCCCACTTCATGTCTATATTATAGGGTCATTAATAATATGCGCTTATTGCTGTACGCCGTCATCAGATTATATTCGAAAATAACATTTATAAAGGAGACTGCTGGATTATTGTTATTATTCATAATGAAACCTAATGCAATTAACAATAATATAATTTTACAAAATCGCAACATTTCTTCTTCTCTGATTCCATTGAAAACGAGAATTGAAGGTACAATTTAAATGATTAAGTTGTATCTAACAGTCAAAGGAAAGATAACAGATTCTTGGAAAGAGACGAGCGAATCGAAGCACAGGCAGACGAACAACACTCTGTTGGCATTCCTGATAAATAATGTGTGATTTAAGAAAATGTTTATTATGGGTTTGAATGTTTATGATTGAATATGCTACATTGGAAAATCTGCATCGCCAGATCCTTTTTTTCGCCTTTGATGAGCGCGAGAGCTCTTATAACTGACAATACAAAATGTCCTAGCACATTAATGAGAGTATATGAGTGTCACACTTTAGAAGTCTCTCCCGTCCAATGTTAGCCACAACTCAGTGTATGCAGCTAGAAATAATTGAATTGGAATTAAACAAACCACAACCAAAATGTATTTAAAAGCGTTTGACAATGGTGAGCAATATGAGTAATTATATTTACTAATTAGAAGATGGTAAACAAATATATACACATTGTAGTATGTATATAGTTTCGAGAACAATAATAGCCGCATACACTCATCATTAATACTATGTAATAAATGACCAGCACTGTTAATGGATAGGAGTACGAATGTGAGCTGTTTTTAATAAGTGTGTTTTCAGTCAAAGTTTCCAAATATGATCGAAAGTTCGACATGCTTATTTCGAAGAAAACTGTATCTACCCTTACCTACGTATATGTATTCATTCAAATCAGAAACATTTTATACATTTATTTAAGGTACAATAATATTCTTCACGTAATACTTATTTAACAAGTAAGAAAGCTCTAGTCGAGACTGCTCGACTACGAGATCCCCTGAACCCTTCGAGCAAAAGCTATTTCAATCATTTTCTGCGCACACACATACACACGCATTCACACACACGCATACACACACACATACACACACACACAAGCAGCCACGCATAAACACGCATGGGCTGCAGTGTGCGCTTGCTATGAGAACTTAATTGTTTAATAGCTTTTCTCGTGGACATACGATCCTCATGAAACTTTCAGATTATGATTATAACATGGATATGCATGTATTTGCCAATGCACAAGTCGCTAGTATTTGCCTTTTACAAACATATGGGTGAGGGGGTGGATATAGGGGGTGAATTTTACCCTCATTTCCCATTTTCAATGGGTTCAGGGTATAAAAATATTGACTTATGAGCAAATGCGGTAAGCCTATCACTTTTCACTTAGTGATAATTTTAACAAGGTTGAATTACAAGCACCAACAATATAGAATTAGGCATATTATCGTGTCAGATCCCATAAAGCACACACATAGTATGTATGAATATTGAAACGCGTCAATACTTTGGTAATCAAAACACTTAAATTATGAAGAAATTGAGCTTGAAGTGTAAACTAGCTTAGATAAGGTAGATGTAGTTTAATCCCTCATGGTTTGAGATTTTTAGTTGAACTTTTAGTTGAACTTTGTTAGAAGATACATGCAGCGTTCGGTTGGGAATCAGGGTATCTCCTATTCTGGCATTCCCGACAAGAGCTCTTTTGTTTTAGTTTGTTAAGCTCGCAACACGAACCTTTGAAGAAATACGCAGTAAGAGGCTCTAGTGCTTGTGTGCATGGTGTTTAGGTAATTGGAATACTTAAATAACAGGTTGGCACTTGGGATAATTCAAACGAGATTTCCCGACTGGAGTGCACTCA